CGTATGATTGATATTAATTAAGAGGTTGTTGGCTTAAAATGTTCATAACTTCTTACTAAAAAGTAATAGGAAACTTATAAAAACGGTTTTGGAAAGCTAAGATAACAGAGCTCCGCAATATAAAATTAGTTTAGAGCAGTTTCTTACAAAAAAATTTATTTAGAACAAAAAAAACATAAGCAAAAAATTTAAGTTTTTTTCCTCAGCTTTATATTTAAAAAATTTTTGATAAAAGAAACTATAGATTAAGTAATAAAAGACAAAGAACTTTTAAATCATTCTAAAGGTCTTATAAAAGTAAAATATCTGAACAAAAAACGAGAAAAAAGGTTATTAAAAGGCGTATGATTAATATTTATTTTGAGGTAAATGCCTTCAAATGAACATTACATACCTTAGAGAAACGTTAGAAAACTTATAAAAATGTTTTTGGAAAGTTAAGATATCTTAGCTTAAGATTCTAGAAGGAATTTATAACCATTTCTTAGAAGAATTTTTAAAATTTTGTTAACAGAAAAAATCAGAAAATGATGAATTTTTTAAAAACTTTATAATAAACAAATAAATATTAAAAAAATTTAGAAACAAGTTAAAGATCATAAACACTTTAGAAATTTTAAAATAAAACAGACAAAAATTTTAAAATTTTCAAGTTGTATGAAGGCGTATGAGTTATATTTATTAGAAGGCTAATATCTTTAAACGAACTCTATGTCCTTTAGAGAAATCTTACGAAAAACCTAAAAACGGTTTTGGAAAGCCAAGATATCATAGTTTCTAATACTAAAAATTATTTATAATAGACTCTTAAAAGAAAGTCGAATTTTTCAATGAGTAACAAGTTCTTCAAACTATAACTTTTTGTAAAACTTTATATTTTTGAAAATATGGACGTAAATTATTAAATAAATGTTTCAAAGATTTCAAAAACAAGTTAGTGGTCAAAAACAAGTAAGAAATTATAACATAAAAAAGAAAAAATTTGAACTTTCTTCAGGTTATATGAAGGCGTATGAGTAATATTTATTATGAAGTTAATGCCTTAAAATAAAGCCTACATCCTTAAGAGAAACCATAGGAAACATTTAAAAACGGGGTTGGAAATCCAAGACATCATAGATTCTAATACTAAAAATAATTTATAACAGTTTCGTGGAAGAAAGTAGAATTTTTTCAATCAGAATTAAAATCTATAAACTATGACCTTTATTAAAACTTAATATTTTAGAAAAACATACAAAAATTAAGAAATCAATGTTGAAGAGTAGTTAAAAAGCTCCTAAATATCTTAAACAATCAAGAAATTCTAAGAAAAGGTGAAAATTTTTTAAATTTGTTCAAGTTATATGAAGGCGGATGAGTAATATTTATTATGACGTTAATGATTTAAAATGACCATAGCGTTCTTTAGATAATCTATAGGAAACATTTAAAAACGGGATTGGAAAGCTAAGATATCATAGATTCTAATACTAGAAAGAATTTATAATAGTTTCTTGGAAGAAAGTAGATTTTTTTAATCAGAAACAAAATCTAAAAACTAAAACTTTTATAAAACATAATATTTTAGAAAAACATAAAAAAATAAGAAATAAATATTAAAGAGATGTCAAAAAGCTGTTAAATATCTTTAACAATCAAGAAATTCTAACAAAAGGCAAACATTTTATTAAATTTTTTCAAGGCGTATGAAGGCGTGTGAGTAATATTTATTATTAAGTTCAAGATTTAAAATGACTACTGTGTCCTTTAGAGAAACTATAGGAAATATTTAAAAACGGGTTTGGAAAGCCAAGACATCATAAATTCTAATATTAAAAAGAATTTATAACATTTTCTTAGAAGAAAGTAGAATTTTTTCAACCAGAAACAAAATCTAAAAACTAAAACTTTTGTAAAACATAATATTTTAGAAAAAATTTACAAAAATTAAGAAATATATGTTGAAGAGATGTCAAAAAGCTGTTAAATATCTTAAACAATCAAAATATTCTAACCAAAGGCGAAAATTTTTAAAATTTTTTCAAGTTATATGAAGGCGGATGAGTAATATTTATTATGAGGTTAATGATTTAAAATGACCACAGCGTTCTTTAGAGAAACTATAGGAAACCTTTAAAAACCGTTTTGGAAAACCAAGATATCATAGATTATAATACTAAAAAGAATTTATAACAGTTTCTTAGACGAATGTAACATTTTTTCCATCAGAAACAAAATCAAAAAATTATGACTTTTTTGTAAATTTTTAGGAAAATTGTCAAATAAATTAAGAAATTTATGTTTAAATAATTTCAAAAACGAATTAAAGATTTGAAACAGCTAAGAAATTATAACAAAAAGCGAAAAATTCAAGTTTTTCGAATATACATGAAGGCGTATGAGTAATATTTAATATGAGGTTGTTAGGAAAAAATCAAACAGTTTTGATTTAAATAAAAACAGTTTTGAAAATCTAAGATATCATAGATTTAGATTATTTAAAGAATTTATAACTTTTTCTTAGAAGAAAGTAGACATATTGCAATCAGAAACAAACTCTTTAGGCTTTAATTTTTAGCAAATCCTTTTTTAAAAAATTTAAAAAAAAAATATCAAATTAATGTTTAAAAGCTTACAAAAACTAGTTAAAAATTGTAAATTATTAACAAATTCCAACAAAAAGTTCAAAAAAAATATTTTTTCAAATTTTATGAAGGCGTATGATTAATATTTATTATGAGGTTGTTAAACAAAAATCATCATAACTTTGTTAGAAAAATATTTAGAAAATATATAGACAAAGTTTTGAAAAGTTAAGAAATCAGGGATTCAGATTATATAAGGTAACTGTTAACATTTTCTACAAGAAAGTAGATATTTTGCAATCAGAAACTAAATCGAAAACTATGACTATTTGTAAAACTTTTTGGGAAACTTTCAATAATGTTTAAATGATTTCAAAAAGCAGTTAAAGATCTTAAACAATTAAAATATTATAACAAAAAGTTAAAAATTTCAAGTTTTTTAAAGTTACATGAAAACGTATGAGTAATATTTAATATGAGGTTGTTAAACAAAAATCGTCATAACTTTCTTAAAAAAATATATAGAAAATATATAAAAACGGGATTAAAAAGCTAAGAAAGCAGGAAATCAGATTCTTTAAACAGTTACTTAAGCTTTGCTTACAAATATCTCAAAATTTGTATAGTTATTAAATATTTTATGATTAATATTGAATATAAACTTGTTAACTTAAAATTCTCATAACATCTTTTCTAATAATGAGAGAACGATCATAAAAGTCTCAGCTAAAAGCTTAGATATTAATCTTTCCAATTCTATAAACAGTTTATAACAGTTTTTTAGAAAAAAATTTAAATTTTTAATGACTTAACTATGAATATTAAGAAATTTATGTTTTACCTTAGTTCAATATCAAGATTCAATTAAAAATTTAGTTCTAAAACAAGAATTGTATAGATTTAATAGATCTGTTTCAGAATACATTAAAAAACAATAAAATTTTAATGTACGCGGCAAAATAATTCCAATTTTAGTTAAAGTTATAAAGTGGCGTATGATTATTAATTTAAAAGGAGTTCTGTTTAAAAGAACATTACTTTATTACTAGGGATAAACGAAAAACTTTACTAAAAAAATCTGAAATTTTGAAAGACTTAACATAACAAAAGTGTGAATAATATAATTTATTTAACAGTTTTGCTAAATGCTGCCCACTGTTCTAACTTTTATATTAAAATTTTAAATCATTCTTAATGTCCTCTATATTCCAGTAGAAAACACCTCTATTAGTAACAGAAACTCATAAAAAATAAAAATTTTAAAATGTTCTCAAACTTGTAACTACTAGTTTGTTCCACTGTGCAAGGTTTAAAGTAAAATTTCAAATATCTGATATAAATTTACGGAAAATTATATAAAATATAAATTTACGTAAAACTTTTCTTTAAAAAATTAACAGAAATTCTCATTTTCCCAAATTTGTTCCACTGTGCTGACTTTATTAGAAGAATCGGAAAATCTTGCTTAACAAATTTTAAAAGCTAATGTTGTACTCTATTGTTGCTATAAATTCGGTAATGATAATGTGTTTAGTTAAGCAGTTTTTAAAGAAAATACTTTTAAGTACTACAATACGTATGATTGATATTAATTAGGCAGTAGTTTTAGAAAAATAAGCATAACTTTGTTATTAAAAACGTTAGAGAAACTATAAAAACTGATTTGGAAAGCCAATAACTTAAATTTTAAGACTATTTAAATTTAAATGAATAGTTTTTAGGAAAATACCGATTTTTAGCAAAGTTTTTAAAAACAAATTTTAATAAAAATGGAAATAATTTTAAAACTTCTAAACAAACTTAAACAAAATTTGTACTACTTATATATTTCATGAAAATTATTAATTTTTCTATATTTTCCAGAAATTTAGATAACTTTTTATATTAAAGAAAATATTTAATTTTTCTCTAAATAAAAGTTTCATGTTTTTTTCAACAAAAACTTTTTTTCAAACTCTATTTCTGTTTTTTTTTTCTTCTTACATACACACCCTGCTATTCATTTAACACACAAATACCCGCTTATATTCACTCACATACATACAAGTATTTACTCACATACACACAATCACACATTTTCCATAACACTCACACACTCTCAAATAACAAAATTTTTTGTATTTAACATTTTTTCAACTTTTTTTCTTCTGCTTCTTTTGCAGTGTTGTGCTGGTTTATTCTCTATATATGATTCTTTCAATTTTTCCTATTTTTTTTCATAGATTGTTGTAGTTGTTTTTATTACTTGATTATATAAAAAAAGCAGAAAATTGGGACTATAATTTTTCCACCCAAAGTAGAAAATGAAAGAAAAATAATTTCAAAACTATTTTTTAATTAAAAAATAATAGAAATCAATTTTTTTAACAAAAAATTTTATATAATTTCTTTTTTGACTTTATTATACTTTTTAAAATTTATTTAATTTCTTACTTTTTTATTGATTTTTTTAACAAATTTCCTTAAAAGTTTTCTTTAAGGTTTTTTTCTTAACCGTTTTCTTCATTAGTTAAATAATTAACAAATTTATTGTTTATATTAACACATTTTTTTGCAAATTAAAGGTTTCTTTCTGAAACTAGTTCTTGTTTTATTTAGCAAAAAAAAAACTGCAAAAAATTGTCTTTACAGTTTGTAAGAGTTTTCTTTCAAAACGTGCGCGTTTTTAAACGAATGTAACACCGCAACGTATAATAACGTTATAGAGCTTAAATTTCATGTTGGCCAAATCTAAAGGTCCTTTTTCCAAAAAAAAACCAACACACACGCACACCACCTCACCAAAAGCACTTGAAATTAAACAACAAAAAATTATCACCAAAAAGCTTTTACTAGGAGTCAGCCTTAAACATACACCAAAAAAAAAAAAAGAGAAAGAGAGTACCAACAAGAGCATTAAACACAGAGAGCATAAGACCCTTATAATAGTCAAAGTCTAGTCTATTTAAATTATACCGTTCATTTATACAAAAATAGTTCATGTGTGTTAAACAAAAAACAGCAAAACGAAAGAAAAAAAATACTACAACAATTGGAGAAATGAGCACAAAAGCCGCCTATAAGGTGGTTTCAGGACTAGATATAAAAGAAAGCGGAAAAATAAACACACTCACACACACACACATAAAAGCCTTCCAACATATAAAGCGAAAATTTGCCAATAAATCATAGCAAGAGAAAACTTACTTGAACTAAATCATTATTTTTCTTAAAAAATAATCATAAACGAAAATCTAAATTAATCAATTTCAATACTAATTAAACAAAAATCATATAAAACGTTAAATTTTCACTAATTTTAAACTCAATAATTAGGTTTGAAAGCTTTCATATTAATACTTTCTCTCACAAAAATAGACACTCCAAATACCTGCAAATTCCTACACAAGAAAATGAAGCAAAGCTTTCAGGAATCTCTCTTTTTTAAATCTACTATAACTTTTCCACTCTTTGCTCTCGATATAAAGCTTTTGAGGAATTTAAAGCACTCATTCAAATATTTTGATAAATTTTAGTACAAATAAAAAAATCTCTCATTTTTCTATATTTTTAGTACAAAATCGAAAAAGAAGAAAACAGAACTAGAACAGAACTGGAACAGAACCAGAATAGAACTAGAACAGAACTAGAACAGAACTAGAACAGAACTAGAACAGAACTAGAACAGAACTAGAACAGAACTAGAACAGAACTAGAACAGAACTAGAACAGAACTAGAACAGAACTAGAACAGAACTAGAACAGAACTAGAACAGAACTAGAACAGAACTAGAACAGAACTAGAACAGAACTAGAACAGAACTAGAACAGAACTAGAACAGAACTAGAACAGAACTAGAACAGAACTAGACAGAACAGAACTAGAACAGAACTAGAACAGAACTAGAACAGAACTAGAACAGAACTAGAACAGAACAGAACTAGACAGAACTAGAACAGAACTAGAACAGAACTAGAACAGAACTAGAACAGAACTAGAACAGAACTAGAACAACTAGAACAGAACTAGAACAGAACTAGAACAGAACTAGAACAGAACTAGAACAGAACTAGAACAGAACTAGAACAGAACTAGAACAGAACTAGAACAGAACTAGAACAGAACTAGAACAGAACTAGAACAGAACTAGAACAGAACTAGAACAGAACTAGAACAGAACTAGAACAGAACTAGAACAGAACTAGAACAGAACTAGAACAGAACTAGAACAGAACTAGAACAGAACTAGAACAGAACTAGAACAGAACTAGAACAGAACTAGAACAGAACTAGAACAGAACTAGAACAACTAGAACAGAACAGAACTAGAACAGAACTAGAATAGAACTAGAACAGAACTAGAAGCAGAACTAGAATAGAACTAGAACAGATCTAGAACTGAACTAGAACACAACTAAAACAGAAACTAGAACAGAACTAGAATAGAACTAGAATAGAACTAGAATAGAACTAGAACAGAACTAGAACAGAACTAGAGCAGAACTAGAACAGAACTAGAACAGAACTAGAACAGAACTAGAACAGAACTAGAACGGAACTAGAACAGAACTAGAACAGAACTAGAACAGAACTAGAACAGAACTAGAACAGAACTAGAGCAGAACTAGAACAGAACTAGAACAGAACTAGAACAGAACTAGAACAGAACTAGAACAGAACTAGAACAGAACTAGAACAGAACTAGAACAGAACAAGACCAGAACTAGAACAGAACTAGAACAGAACTAGAACTGAACTAGAACAGAACTAGAACAGAACTAGAACAGAACTAGAACAGAACTAGAACAGAACTAGAACTGAACTAGAACTGAACTAGAACTGAACTAGAACTGAACTAGAACTGAACTAGAACTTAACTAGAACTGAACTAGAAACTGAACTAGAACTGAACTAGAACTGAACTAGAACTGAACTAGAACTGAACTAGAACTGAACTAGAACTGAACTAGAACTGAACTAGAACTGAACTAGAACTAGAACTAGAACTGAACTAGAACTAGAACTGAACTAGAACTAGAACTAGAACAGAACTAGAACAGAACTAGAACAGAACTAGAACAGAACTAGAACAGAACTAGAACAGAACTAGAACAGAACTAGAACAGAACTAGAACAGAACTAGAACAGAACTAGAACAGAACTAGAACAGAACTAGAACAGAACTAGAACAGAACTAGAACAGAACTAGAACAGAACTAGAACAGAACTAGAACAGAACTAGAACAGAACTAGAACAGAACTAGAACAGAACTAGAACAGAACTAGAACAGAACTAGAACAGAACTAGAACAGAACTAGAACAGAACTAGAACAGAACTAGAACAGAACTAGAACAGAACTAGAACAGAACTAGAACAGAACTAGAACAGAACTAGAACAGAACTAGAACAGAACTAGAACAGAACTAGAACAGAACTAGAACAGAACTAGAACTGAACTAGAACTGAACTAGAACTGAACTAGAACTGAACTAGAACTGAACTAGAACTGAACTAGAACTGAACTAGAACAGAACTAGAACAGAACTAGAACAGAACTAGAACAGAACTAGAACAGAACTAGAACAGAACTAGAACAGAACTAGAACAGAACTAGAACAGAACTAGAACAGAACTAGAACAGAACTAGAACAGAACTAGAACAGAACTAGAACAGAACTAGAACAGAACTAGAACAGAACTAGAACAGAACTAGAACAGAACTAGAACAGAAATAGAGCAGAACAGAACTAGACATATATAAAGCTAGCAATGAACTATGAAATTACATAGATCCTGCAAAACCATCGACGAGTATGAGTAATAATTAATAATGTTTGATATTAATCATACGCTTCGTTCGTTTAGAAAAATAATTTTTCATTTTTCTCGTATAAACTATATTTTGTCTATTTTTGCTTTAGTATTTATGTTGATAAGAATTTTTTAATATGTATTTATTTTATTTATAGTTTTCCTTAACAATTAATTATAACATTTCTCTATCTACTGTTTTATAAATAGTTTAATTTATGTTGGCTCCTCGTGCAAAAATAATAATTCATTTTCCCTTTTGAACATATCATATTTAAGAATTATTCTGTGGTCGAAGAGAATATGTAGATATGTATATATTTCCTTTTCCCCTTTTTGTGGTCTATTCTCACTAGATATTGACATTTTGACAATCTAATCTTTGTTTATGGTCCTTTGAGTAGTATGTCTAAAGTATGTCGTTTTTTCTTTTCGTATTGGTGTTTAAACTGTTCCAGTAGAAATGGATTAAGTATATTTAAAGATTTTACAAAATATTTAATTTATTTTACTAAATATTCTAAAAGAATTAATATTTATGTAAGTTTGTGTATTTCTCCTTATACCTAAATACATGTATGTATGTGTATATTCATGTCTATATTTATAAATGTGTTCGAGTGTCTGTATGTGATTGTAAATCATGAATGTGTATGTGGTTTTCAGCCTGTAAAGTTATATTTATTAATTGTGGTTTTTGGTGTTTATTGTTTGTAACTTTACAAACTTCCTTCCTGTACCTACTCTACTCCTTATGTAGGTGAGTCTATGGGAAACCCCTTCTATAGTTTAGGATTGTATTATAACAACAACCATAAAACCAGCAAAGGTATTGGAAACAGTTAATTTATGTTTATCAAGCGACAGTAACAGCACAACAATGAACTTTTACTAATTTAATAAATTTAAGAAATTAATTTTTATATATAGTTTTGTCCCTCAACTGCAGCTTAATAATCCATATAATTAAATCACAAAAACAAAGATTTTAATGAAACAATCATTTACAGCCGCAGGCTGGTGTTGAAAAAGGCAACTGTTTATCTGTCTAAATTAAATACTAGTTCCATTATCAACTCAACTCATTCCACTAAATGTAACGCGTTTCCTTTTGATACCAAGGAAGAAACTAATTAATCATTGTGGGACGATATTTGCCTTTTGTCTTTTCCATTCATTTGCTTTTGGGGTCAGTTACCATTTGTTAAAAGATTTTAATTGTTTATTAAATGTCACACATGTTGTTATTTAGAGACAAAAGATTGATAAATTGTAGTAATTTAATGGGGAAAAATGTTATTGAAATTTTAATATTTTTATTGAAAGGAAATCTCTTAAGAATAACAATAAATATTCTAGTTCTGTTTTAGTTCAGTTCTAGTTCAGTTCTAATTCAGTTCTAGTTCAGTTCTAGTTCAGTTCTAGTTCAGTTCTAGTTCAGTTCTAGTTCAGTTCTAGTTTCAGTTCTAGTTCAGTTCTAGTTCAGTTCTAGTTCAGTTCCAGTTCAGTTCTAGTTCAGTTCTAGTTCAGTTCTAGTTAAGTTCAGTTCTAGTTCAGTTCTAGTTCAGTTCCAGTTCAATTCTAGTTCTGTTCTAGTTCTGTTCTAGTTCAGTTCTAGTTCTGTTCTAGTTCTGTTCTAGTTCTGTTCTAGTTCTGTTCTAGTTCTGTTCTAGTTCTGTTCTAGTTCTATTCTAGTTCGTTCTAGTTCTGTTCTATTTGTTCGTTCTAGTTCAGTTCTAGTCAGTTCTAGTTCAGTTCTAGTTCAGTTCTAGTTCAGTTCTAGTTCAGTTCTAGTTCAGTTCTAGTTCAGTTCTAGTTCAGTTCTAGTTCAGTTCTAGTTCAGTTCTAGTTCAGTTCGTTCAGTTCTAGTTCAGTTCTAGTTCAGTTCTAGTTCAGTTCTAGTTCAGTTCTAGTTCAGTT